ATATAGAAAGACCTTTGTCAAAGGGACTGGTATTGAAAAATAGGTCTGAATCAGAATAGTCTAAGGCTTACCATAAACAACTAGTTCTTGGGGAGTTAAGGTCTGCCAGAGGAGACAATCAACTATCAGGGGCTTACCAGGTGTTATCAGAGCCTTAAGTAAAACTAACAGATTGGGCAAAATTCTTTGTCCTTGCCACTCAGGCATACAGTGCCCTTATTCTACTGAAAACTGTTTTATTAAGAAATCAGAGCTAGATAGTACTGCAATTAAATTATCCAATGAGCAATCAAATTAAAATAATCCCAAAGAGAAACTTGTTAAATCAAATAGCTCTCCTGTAGGATTTCTCTGCTACCGTTTTCCCCTTCCCATTTCTCTCCGTAAATAAAACTAGAAAGCCCTTTAGTAGTTGTATTATATGGTTCTGAAGGTGTACAAATATTTGAAACTCCCATGGATTTCTAGATGTTTCACAAGGACAGGTTTCAAGAGCATATGTTTATATCATAACTGAAATTCTATCACCTTATTAAAGTGTTTTTGTTCATATGATATATTTGATGAATATATGATAAGTAAAATACTTTTTTTTCTATTGGTCGTAAGTATGCAGCTTTACTCTTATTTCACTTCTAGAGGTGTTAGTCTTGTGTTTTCTGTTTCTTTTTTCAGAAAGTGAAGGAAGTTCCCCAAGTCACATTGCAGTATTGTGCCGAGGCCGAGTTTTTGTCTTTGATGTAATACATGAAGGATCTTTGATCACCCCACCAGAGATTCTCAGGTTTTCAGACTACTTTCTTGAATCTCACTAGGTCTTAAGCTTTTACTTGAGTTAAAAATAAATGTTCAGAGTTGCCTATTTATATGGTGACAGAAAAATAAGAATTTTATATATGCTGATTTTTAAAAAGTATTTCTATTTTATTTTTAATTTAAATTAATTTTGAATTTTACTAGACATATATGAACATATTCTATTTGGAGAAAAGGAAAACATTACAAATACCACCAGTCTCATTCCCTGCCTCAGAATTAATCACTGTTACTAGTTTGGTGTATTCTAGCCTTCCAGATCTACTTATATACACATATAGATTTAAAAAATATGTATCTGTATATTTTATATGTAATATGTATTACACACATAATAGATTGTACACATAGTAGTATATAGTATGTATATATGGTATTATTTTGTATGTGTATATTTTTATAGTGTATAATGGAAAATTGCAAAACTTGGAGGGAATTATATAATGAAGCTCTTCCATGTACTCATCCCTTAGCTTCAAGTTATCAACTCTTAGCTTTAACAATGATAAATTCATAGTCTTGTTTCAACTATTCCTCCATGCTGCCCCTTACTCCTCCATGGGTTATTTTAAAGAAAACCTCAGACATAATATCCTTGCACAATAAGTATTTTAGTATCTCTAAATATATATCTCTAAATATTAAATATCTCTAAAATATAAGGACTCTTAAAAATATACATGCACAGTACTGTACCATCATCACACCTAATGACTTGCTGCTTCGAAAAATTAACAATAATTCTTTCATATTATTAATATATAAGCAATTATTCAAATTTCCTGGATTGTCTTATAAATGTTGAGTTGTAGGTACCTATATTTATTTTAAATTTTTTTATTAAATGTTCCAGACATGTGCAAAAACTCACACAGAAGTATACAGCTAAATACTCATGCAACCACTACCCAGGTCAAGATGGAGAACATTTCCAGCACTTCAGAAACACCCCTGGTAGCACTTCCTAGTTACATGCTTTCCCTCCTTCCCAAGAGTAATCAGTTAGGTTGCTTACAGTTTTTATTAGCACAAAAAATGGTGCTGTGAAAATTCTTGTACAAGTCTTTTGATGCACATGTATCTGCAGTTCTGAGGAGAAGATGTGCTGAGTCATAGGATATGTGGACCTTTGGTAGGTAATGCCAGTTTTCCAGAATAGCTGTACTGATAATAAGCACTTCCACTAGTGTATGAGTGTTGTAGGAGTTCTTCATTTTCATTGGTTTAACGTGTTGAAATCTACAGAGCAGATTTTATAAATGTCCTTTCGTTCTATTAAAGGCATCTTTTCAATCAACAGAAGTTCTTAATTTGAATTTAGTCCAATTTATTAAATCTTTTATGGATTGTGCTTTTTGTGTCCTTTTTAAAAAAATTTTCCCTAACCCTATGTTTTCTAAAATTTTATTGTTTTATCTTTTACATTTTCATTAACAGTCTGCCTAGATTTAGTTTCTGTATGTGACATGAGGCAGGGATAGTTGCACATATTTTAAAAAGTGCCATTTTAGCTATTTTCTGCAGTTTGTTTCTTTTAGTCAGTAAGTAGTAAGACTGATATTTTCATTTTGGAATAGATATATCTACCTTACTTTTTAAACTGTTGCATAGAATTCCATCACATGGACATATAGTTTGGTCATTTCTCCATTAACACATTGAGGTAGATTCTATTTATTGCTATAACAAACACTGAACATTTTCAAGCGTGTCACTTTGCGTATTTGGAAGAAAATATCTGTGGTTTGATATTAGAAGTGAAATTTTTGGATCGCAGGATATATATATATTTTAAATTAACTCAAATTGTCATCCAAAGAAGCATTGTGTTCCCTGTCAGTATTTTATGAGGCTACCCACTTCACATCATTGCTGAAATGGTGTAATTAAACTTAAAACATTTAAAGAACTGACACATGAAAAATGGTTTTTATTGTTGCTTGAATTGGCACATCATTAGTGAGGTTGAATATTTTTATATATGCTTATAGGCCATTTGTATTGTCTCTTAGTTACTTTTGCCCATTTTGTTTCTGGCTATTTTTTTTTTTTTAATTCCTATTGATTTGTTTAAACCAGTTGTTTATATGTCTAGACACTAATCCTTTATAAATTATATGGGTTGCAAACATTTTCTTCCAGTTAACTTAAAAAAAAGTTTTGGTGATTGCACAGGCATTATTAATTTTGATGTAGGCAACTTTATATATCTTTCAGGTATTTTGCTTTTGTGTCTTGGATAATATTTATGTATGTTCCAGTTATATTTTTTAATTTGGTCCAAATTTAATGTATGATTATTAGATCAGGCTTATTTTTAAAAATTTTATTATTTTAATTATTTTTTAATTATAGTTGGCATACAGTATTATATTAGCTTCAGGTGTACAATGTAATGATGAGACAGTTATATAACTTACAAAGTGATCACCCTGATAAATCTAGTACCCATCTGACACCAGACATAGTTATTACAATATTATTGACTACATTCCTTATGCTGTATTTTACATCCTCGTGATTTTTTTGTAGCAACCAATTTGTATTTCTTAATCCTTTCCCCTTTTTCAACCATCCCTCCCATTTGGCACCCCTCAAAATGTTCTCTTTGTCTATGAGTTTGTTTCTGTTTTTTTGTTTTTTTTTGTTTTTGTTTTTGTTTTTGTTTTTGTTTTCAGATTCCACAAGTGAAATCATATAGCATTTGTCATTTCTGTCTGACTTACTCCACTCAGCATAGTACCTTCTAGGTTTATCCATGTTGTTGCAGGTGGCAAGACTTCATTCTTTTTTTTTTTATATGGCTGAGTAATATTCCATTGTATGTATGTACCACCTCTTCTTTATCCATTTATCTGTTGAAGGACAACAAGATTGCCTCCGTATCTTGGCTATTGTAAATAATGCTGCAGTGAACATTTGGGTGCACACGTTCCTTTAAAGTAGTATTTTGGATTTCCTTAGATAAATACCCAGAAGTGGGATTACTAGTTTCTTGTCTCTTGTTAAAGCCTGTTTTAAAGTTTATTTTGTCTGGTATAAGTATTGCTACCCCAGATTTTTTTTCCCATTTCTATTTTCATGAGATATCTTTTTTCATTCCTTTACTTTCAGTCTTTGTGTATCTTTTGATCTGAAGTAAGTCTTTTAGGCAGCATATGTAAGGGTCTTGTTTTCTTATGCATGCAGCCACCCTATCTTTTGATTGGACCATTTAATCCTTTTCATTGGAAGTAATTGTTGATCTGTAGTTATTGTCATTTTATCGTTCATATTTTTTATTTTTCTTCTTAAAGAAGTCCCTATAACATTTCTTGTAATACTGGTTTGGTGGCAGTGAACTCCTTTAGTTTTTCTCCCCCTCCCCCGCTTTAGATTTTTCTTGTCTGGCAAGCTGTCCTTCAATTCTAAATGATAGCTTCGCTGGTAGAGTGAGTAATCTTGGTTGTAGGTCCATGCTTTTCATTACTTTGAATATTTTGTGCCAGGCCCTTCTGACCTGCAAAAGTTTTGTTGAGAAATCAGCTGATAGTCTTATGGGAGCTTTTAAGATTCTTTTGTCTTTAAGCTTTGGTATTTTAATTATAATGTTTCTTGCTGTGGGCCTCTTTGATTTCATCTTGTTTGGGACTCTTTGGGCTTCCTGGGGTTTTATGTGTGTTTCATTTGCCAGGTTAGGGAAGTTTCGTCATTTTTTCTTTAAATAGGCTTTCACTTCGATGCTCTGTCTGTTCTCCTTCTGGTGCCCCTATGATGCGAATGTTGGTATGCTTGATGTTGTCCCAGAGGCCCCTTAAAGTATCCTCATTTTTTTAGATTCTTTTTCTTGTTGCTGTTCTGATTGGATGTTTCCTGCTACTTTATCTTCTAAATTCCTGATTCAATCTTCTGTTTCATCTACTCTGCTGATCCTTTCTAAAGTAGTCTTCATTTCAGTTATTATAGTCTTCATTTCTGATTGGTTCCTTTTTGTTTCCTATCCCCATTTTTATAGTTTTATCCCTTTGTTAAAGTTCTCACTGACTTCATCTGCTCTCCCCCTAAGTTCCTTCAGCATCCTTATAACCAGAGTTTTGAACTTTGCATCTAGTAGATTACTTGTCTCCATTTTGTTCTTTTTATGAAGCTTTGTTCTGTTCCTTCCTTTGGGACATCTTCCTTTGTCTTCCCATTTTGGCTGCCTCCCTGTGTCTGTTTCTGTGTATTAAGTAGAGCTCCTAAGTTTCTCTGTCTTGGTAGAGTGGCCTTATGTAGTAGGTGTCCTGTGGGACCCAGTAGCACAGTCTTCCCTGGTCACCTGAACTGGGTGCTCCACATGTATTCTTTATATGGATTGTGTGCATACTCCTGTTGTAGTTGAACCTTGATTGCTGTTTGCACATCAGTGGGAGAGACTGACCCTTGGACTGACTGTTAGTTAAGACTGGCCGGTGAGGGGCTGACCCTATGGAGCAAGATTCACTTTAGGTCAGATGCTACTTGTTTGGGATTTGTGGACCTTTGATAGATTTTAGGAAAGTCCACAGCATGAGCCAAGACAGGCCATTTGTATGGAAAAGCCACTGGAGCGGGCTTGGATGCACCTGGAAGTTGGGAGGTGCAGGGTCTTGGGATCATGGGGCGGGGAGGGGCAACTTGTGTTAGTCAGATTGATGGAGACAGAGATATGGAGGCCGTCTCTGTCTGCACACTGAGACGGGGGGGAGGGTTCAACAAAAGAACAATGGATTCTGCTAGTACTTCTGTCTTGGAGAAAGCTGCTCCACCAGCCCTTGCCCTGAAGCCAGACAATTCAGTTCCTTCCTGTATGTCCCTAGTGCCATTCAAGCAGCTGCCCCAGTGCTGGTGCTCAGAGCAAGTAAGTCTGTCACTAAGTAAGTTAGCATGCGGGCCCTTTAAGAGGAACGTCCATGACTCCCACTGCCTTCTCTTCTACTTAGCCACAATCACCGCTGGTTTTCACAGCCA